AATTCCCCTCTAATCCTATTTTGTTGAGTGCTTTAATCATGAAAGGGTGTTGGATTTTATCAAAGGCTTTTTCTGCATCAATTGATAGGACCATATCCTAATTTATTCTTAATTGTAGCTTTGGAGCATTATACCTTTCTTTCACTGTGAGGATAACTTGTGCTTTTCCAGTTTCGGTATCTTCTTATTCATGAGAGGTGAAAATGGAAAAAACAGGAAGTAAAAATTGTAGTAAAAATGATGCTGAATGAAATGGAGAAAGCTACTGCTTAAGTGTTCCCACATATCCAGAGATTGTCATGTGGGAAAAAGATTTGAAGAAAAAAACTTTTAATCTGAAAACATAAGAAATTTGTTCAAATGTTCAAACTTAACACAGGGTGGAAGTGGCATTAGGTGCCTCCAGATTGACTCTGATTCTGTATTCTTCTTACTTAATTCTTCATCTTGCTTTTCCTTTTTAAGAAATTTACCTATATAAGATATAAAATACTGACTAGTTAATGTGTACTAATTATTTAGCACTCAGAAATGCTGGAGAGGTATCCAGATTGGAAAAGAATCAAAGCTGCCTTTAATTACAAATTATAAGCTTTAAAATATAGAAAATCCCAAGGTATCTATTTTATATAATAAGCAAATTCAGCTAGGTTGCAGGATAAAGGTTGGTACACACAATCAATTCTGTTTCTTTTCATGAACAAAATTAAATTGAAACTAGGGAGAATTCCATTTGTACCTTTCAAAAAAAAAAAGAGATTAAATATTTAAGTTTTAAAAATAAGAGAGATAAAACTTACTTTGAAAACTCCAAAGCTTTGTGAAAAGAAAAACCAAAATAAACAGAAAGATATATGTATTGATTAAAGTGGTAATGCTCTTCATATTGATATATAGATTGAATGCCATCATCGGCGTTTCCAGCTGGCTTCTTTACAGAATTTGATGAACTGATTCCACAACACTTATGGAAATGTAAGGAACCCAGAATAGCCGAAACAGCCATGGAAAAGAAGAAACAAAAAAACAGGATTCATCCTCTTGATTTCAAACTTATTACAAAGATAGTGATGAAGAGTGTGGTACTGGCATAATACAGACATATGAAAATGAATTTTAAAAGTCCAAAGATAAGTCCTCCTATTTACGATTAGTTGATTTTCAACAAGGACATCATGACAATTTTAATAAAGAGTTTTTCAACGTGATACTGGGACAGCCAGATGTTCACATGAAAAAATTAAATTTGTGCCTGTTGTATCGTGCAATAATAAACTCAAAATAGGTCAAAGATCTTAATGTAAGAAAGAAAATTCTTAAAATATAGGAGTAAATTTTTGTGACCTTGGGTTTGATCCTTTCTTAAAAATGATACAAGCACAAGTAACAAAAGAAAAATGTATTGAGTCAAATATTATTCATAGTAACACTATGAACAAAAAAATGATCTGAACCGTGTCCTATCCTACACCATCCTCACACTTCTTGACTCATTAACGCCCATTGGAGCAGTCACCGTGTCAATCTAAATGGTAGTATTTTTCTCCTTCCCACTGCCTTTCTGAGTATCATGTCCCTCCAAGAACTGGCCTCATCTAGCAACATGTTTGAAGTAAGTGAAGCAAAGCCTCATCATTTTTGCCTCCAGAGAGCACTACGGCTGCACATCTCTAAGACAGGTTTATTTGTTCTTTTGGCTGTCCATAGGGTGTTCAGCAGTCTTCCAACATCAGAGTTCAAAGGCATCAGTTCTTTTTCTGTCACCCTTATTCACTGTCCAGCTCTCAGATGCATGGCAAGTGATCAGAAAGACCATGGCCTGGTTCAGATGCACCATAGTCCTCAAACTGACATTATTACTCCTCCATAATTTGGAGAGATCCCTAACGGCAGAAGTGTAATACTTCTGATTTCCAGACTAGTACCAAGGGTTTTAACTGTAAATCCAAGTGAGATGAAGTTGACA